ACTGGATGAAGTGAAAACCAACTAAACAATGGTTTCGCCAAAGGTACCATCTTTCTGTTATACACCTGTGAGCAGACCTGGTGAAATATTAGGCAAGTAAATTTTCAGTTGGAGTAAAGGATAGCTTGATCATTTCAAAATACAAATGGATGGCCCTAAGATCAGGATTTAGGGAAAAGCCATAGATGTTGATTCAGGGTACCCTTGAGTTATTATTGCTAGACTTGGGAGCCTTATTCAATAACCAGTTCCCTAGTCTTAAAGAAGAGAAGACAAAGAACAAGATGAGAGATGGCTTAACCCGCTGATAATTTGGCTTCGGTTCATGGCGTGTTAATGTTTTTTTCAGCACAGAATAGGACACAAGAAGAGACATACTTGGATGCAAGATGTGCAAATTCCTGCTGAGCCTATTTTTCATAGCATTACTTCATTATTTTATGGGACATGTGAATTACTGTAACACTATCTTTGGTTGTATTAAAGAGGTATATAGGAAACAAAACAAGTTTGTTATTAAGGAATGACATGTACCACTCACTGCTCCTTTTACATGATTTTAGGAATATAACTATTTGTAGTCTTTTCCTTAACTCGGTAAGACACTGAAGGTATTCAAGAAATTTAACTTTCTTTTCTCTTTTAAGTTCTGAGGAGGAGAAAAATTATGAAATCAATCCCAAACATTTTAGAGCAAACTGATATTTACTTTTAGTATGAATTCTTTGCAACAAAAAAAAAGTTATAATCCCATAACAAGCTTTCAGGATTGGCATGCAGTAACTTCTGCCCAATTTAGATATGTCCAGTACAAAAATGGCCAACTTTGCTGGGCAGACTAAGCAATAATCCTTTCTGCACAATAAGGGTTTTTCAGTCCCTGATTCTGCAGATTCTGGTGCTTCCTGAGGACCTTATGTTTTTGTTTCACGGAGTCACTTTTCCTGCATAGTTCTAGTATCCAATTTGAGGGCTGGAGGAAGGGAAAGAAATGGAATAGATGACATCAACCCTATGTTATTACTGAACATAAAGGCCTTGGAGCCTCTCTACCCTGTCAATCCCAATTTTGACTGAATCCTTCCTCCTATAGTTTACATCTAGGCCAAGATCCTCAAATCTGAATCTATTATCTGTTGCCAAATCACTATCCCACTTGTTCCAGGGCCATTGGACTAGATTTCAGGGTTTACAGCTACAAAATAGAATTCAAACATTTTCAGGATCATTATTTCATTTGATTTTCATTTAAAAAAAAAGGTGTTTAGGATAAGTATTATCTCCATTTTGTAAATTAAAAAATGGAAGTTTATACAAGTCAAAGAATTGCTCAAAGTCACAATGATAATAAACACAGCTCAGTCAAGGGTAAAAACCAGGTCTTTGGGCTCCAGATTCAACGCATTTCACAAATGTCACTCTGTCTTTCTAAATGAGTTCTTAGCATTTTAAGGTGGAACTCTAAAAGTGTATTTCCACATAAACCCTCTGACTTGTGATTACATGTTAAAGAATCATAGATAGTATACCTCCATTATGGTATTATGGCGTTTGGGGATTGCCTTGGGAGCCTTTTTTTTTTTTTTTTTTTTTTTTTTTAAGACGGAGTTTCGCTCGCATTGCCCAAGCTGGAGTGCAATGGTGCAATCTTGGCTCATTGCAACCTCCACCTCCGGGGTTTAGGCGATTCTCCTGTCTCAGCCTCCCAAGTAGCTGGGATTACAGGTGCGTGCCACCACCCCAGGCAATTTTTTTGTATTTTTAGTAGAACATGTTAGCCAAGCTAGTCTCTAACTCCTGACCTCAGGTGACCTGCCCACCTTGGCCCCCCAAAGTGTTGGGATTACAGGTGTGAGCCACCGCACCCGGCCACCTTGAGAACCTTGTAACCTAGGAAGGTCAGACTCTGATTTTTCCATTAAAACATAATCTTAAATAGTAAGTGAATAAATATAGTTTCTTACACAACTAGTTTGAGAAGAAACAACAAATGCAAAGGATGAGTCAAGGTTTCATGTTGATGTTTACCAGTTAAAGCAGAACATACACTAAAATAGATAACTTTAACTGTTTTATTCACTTTAATATTTTTGTGACCCAAATATACAAAGTAATTTAAAGCATAACAGATCAAAGTTTCACTCAATGTTTCTAATACCAGAGGTGAACAAGTTATTCTTATTTCACATTTATTCTTACACACAAAATTGTCTTTTTCCCCTATTCTTTTTTCATCCCTGCAGGAAGCATACATTTTAAGGACTGATGTTTGTATTTACAGGGCTTTATTTAAACTCGTGACCTAATAATAATCCAGTAAAAAAAAATTTACCAAGTTAACCAGTTTGTTCACTGAAATACTACAGCAGGAACTAAAATGTTCTCTCGATGGAGCTATCTGTTGGCCAATGGCCAGTCTCTGGCAAGACTAAAACATGCTGTGTTTATAGATAATATCTATTATAGAGTTAAAAAAACTAAAGCCTTTCCTTATAATGATAATAATGTTTGTCAGGTATTATTTTTTAAAATCTCTATGTCCTGAATATATAATACAAAGGATAGGAACAAATAGTGACTTTTTTAATTAGAAAAATATTTGGTGTGAAATAAGCAATTGCTCTTTGGGTTTCATTGTAAATATTTTGTTAATTGAAAAAATCTCAAATACATAAGGAAAACAAATAACATTTACTAGAATAAATAAAAATTATAGATGGACTAGAAAGTCATCATATAAACTAAAAAATGTTTCACCTCTTTATTTTAACAAACTTATTCAAATTATCCCAGTGACATTGTTTTCATTAATTCCAAATTCCATCTTAGGTTCATACACACATAGAATATCAGAGTTAAAAGGAAACATGGAAATTTGTCTTGCTATCATTTCATAGTTGAAAAAAAACCAAATGATTTGCTCAATATCACCCAACTAATTAGTAGTGGTGATCTAGAAAGACAGATATCAGATGGGTCAATAAAAAGGAATCTGGCTGAGCGTGGTAGCTCACTTGAGCCCAGGAGTTTGAGAACAGCCTGGGCAACATGGCAAAACTCTAGCTCTACCAACAAAAATTTAAAAATTAGTCAACAAATTAGCCATATCTACCAACAAAAATATAAAAATCAGGGTGTGGTGCCAGACAGCTGTAGTCCCAGCTACTCGGGAGGCTGAGGTAGAAGGATGGCTTGAATCCAAGAAGCAGAGATTGCAGTGAGCCAAGATCGCACCACTATACTCCAACCTGAGCGACAGAGCCAGACCCAAAGAAAAGAAGAGAAAAGAAAAAGAAAGAGAAAAGGAAGAGGAAATGGAAAAGGAAAAGGACCCAAACAAATAAAAAGGAATCCTCATCATTCATATATGTGCTTTCCATTTCTATTTTAAAAGTACTGCTTTTCGGGTAATAGATACGTTACATCTTGATTAAGAGAAAATGGAAGATATTTAAATATATGTAAAAGAAAATTAAATATAAAACATCCATAATCTCATCATTCATAAAAGCTCTTAAAATTATGATGCAGTTTCTTCTACTCTTTCAATTTCCCTGTATTTGAAAACAGTACAATTGTACAATTTTACAAAATTGAGATAATATACATAACATTTTGTATCCCTTTTTCCACCTTACGTTATACCATATTTTATCTTATTAAAATATATAATAAAATCTTAATAATTGTACAAAATTCCTTAAATTGTTTTTGTATACTTTTTGTAACCATCACTACTATCACTAGACATTTAGGTTTAAACAACCATGCACACAAATCTTTGTAATTCTAATTATTTCCTTAGAAGAAGAATCTAGACATGAGATTACCTGGTCAAAAGGTATACATATTTTGATGGCTTTTTATACAGATGGCCCAATTGCCATCCAGAATGATGTAATAATTTATACTTTTACCAGTGGAGCAGTGTATAATGCCTGCTTCATTGCATACCTCAGCAACAATAGATGTTGGTTTTTGTGATTTTTGCTAATGTTACAGGCAAGATGGTTCTTTAAATCTACATTTATTCATTACTACCACTGAACCTTTTTCACATATTATCATCATCTATATTTCCTCCTCTATGAATAATGTGTTTATATCGTTTGTCCGCTTTTAAAAATGTTTTATTGAAGTACAATATACATAAAGTATACATATCTTAAGTGAAAAGCTCAATGATTTTTTTCATAAACTGAATACACCCACGTAACAGCCCCCAGATCAAAAGACAGAACATTATCAGCACCCGAGAAGCTACTCTTGTTTTTCCTTATAAGCACTAATTCTCCTAGGAGTAAGCACTATTCTGATTTGTTATATCATAAATTAATTTTTCTGGTTTTTGTCCTTTTGTTCATTTTTATAGTAATAATTTGTTTTAAAAAGTTATCATTTATTATAAATTATAAAACATTTAAACATTACAGAAAAGTACCAAAACAATCAACAAGTCATTCCGAAACCATTCCATCTAAAGCAACTGTTAACCATAGTGAACATGACACTTCTGTACCCACTGACAGATATACAGAGAAACAGACAAATTATCCCTTAGAATGGGACTATAATCTTACTTTGAAGAAAAAGAAATGGAATTAAAACCAAAAAATAAAAAACCCTCCAAAACATCAGATAAATGTTCTTTGAGTATATACAAATCATTAAGAGGTCTGCATTTCATTAAAAACAAAAACAAAAGTGGTTTCAATTTTGCATATTACTGAGTGTTTTCCTACATTGAAAAAATAATTACCATGCATCCTGTCATCGTTCCTCACCTTCTAGTTTTCGTTTCTTATTTTTATCATTTATACTCAATCATACGACCACAATTTTTACAGCTGATTCTATTACTTTGAATCACCCTTTCCTTGGTTTCAACAATCAGCAGTATCCCCACTCTTTTTTCTTTAAAGTAGAATCCATAGTAATTTTCATGTTTCAGCATATCTATGTACAGCCTTAATAGTAAGAAGAAAACACAGTTTTCTTGGGTCACAGTTCATTTCCTTTATAAAGTTGCACTAATGATATACATGTAATGAAAATGATAACAGGAAATATTTAGTTATTAGTACGTATCAGTTACTGTTAAAAACATTTCATGTTTGTTAATCATTTAATACCAACAACAATCCTATGAGGTAGGTAGCATGATCATTTTACAGATGAAAACAATAGAGGCACTGGAAGGGGAACTGACTTGCCCAAAGTCTCTAATTTGTAAAGTGCAGAACTCTGATTTGAACACAGGGAGTCTGAATCAAGAGCCTGTGCTTCTCACCGCTACATAATGCTTTGACGTTTGCAGCTAGGACACGACTGGAGGGAGGGACAGTAAAGGATGCCGCTAGCTTTAAGGAGTGAAGGCCAGGAATGCTAGATGTTCGTGGTAATGAATAGGGCAGATCCTGACGATACAGACTGTACCATGTCCCTCACAAAAGCTCTGTTTCCTACTATGAGAAAATGAAACTATTAACATTCAAATGTCTTGTTAAACATTCGTGAGGTGAAAACATGCTTAAAATTACTTGATCCTAGAACATTTCACACAAAATACGAAGTTTTTCTTCTCTTTGGCAAGATTTTAACAGGTTCAGTTTTCCAGGAATGCAACTACTTTGGTGCAGAAAAACTGTTCAGTGTTTGGAAAACTATGTCACTGATGGCAATACCGCAACCCATAGCATTTGAGTTGCCGAACAACACACCTATATAAATCTGCACATATAGTTCTCACATTCATGAGTTCTATATAAGAGTGCCAGCATCATTTAACTACTTCTAGTGTAGTCATGGACAAACAGTTACATATCATTGAAAATACTAGTTTATTATATGTTACTTTTATTTTTTCTATTCAACTAGGACAACATGTTGACTTTAAAATTATAGATGTACTCTATCATCTATGAACTTCATTTCAGGATCCAAAAAAGCTCCTAGATTTATTGAGATCTCACAGCATTATATGGGAGTTGTAATTCTTGAGGGGTTTTCCTTATTTTCCTCTGATGTCTTCCGTCCACTTCTTTCCAAATTCAGACACATAATGAAGAAGATTAAACTCTGGTTGATTCATCTTCTTTTCTCAGTACTGTTTTGAGGGCTGGATGTGCTACTAGGAGCCATACCATTCTGCAGCAGAATATTCAGTTTATTTCTACAGGTTCCATTTTTCAGAGTTCTAGCATTTTCTTTGTTTAAAGTTCTATTCCTGTCCTTATTTTATTGTTGCTGGTGAACTTCTGGTTGTCATTCTTTTTAGCACTACTTGTTTGATCATTTTGTTAGCTTTTGGGGAGTGAGTGTTGTGGTCCTGCTTCACTCAGCCGTGTCAACTGGCGGTCGTTTTTTGCCCAACTTTAGATGCAGTGGTTTTCTTTCCTTTGAAGAGACCATCTCAATAAACATTTTCCTTAGTATAAAAGGGTGAGTCTGTCAATTACTTTGTGATGAATGAAAATTTACTACAAGCTTTTCTAATCTCAACTGCTTTCTTCTTATAGTTAATAAAGTAGAAGAGTCTACACTCAGGTCCATTATCACATATATCACTTTGGAGAATATTCGTTAATATTTACTGAGTAATGACAATGTGTCAGTCACTGTTCTAAGAGCTTTGCATATATTATTTCATTAATCTCATAACAATCCTATGAGGTGGACAGTATTCTCATAGGAAAAGGAGGTTTAAGAGTACCAATTTGCCCACAGTCACATAGCTATTAAGTGGCAAAGCAGGGGTTTGCACCCTGGACATCTGATATCAGAGCCCAAGTTATTATTTATTCACTACCTTACTGCCAACCAAGGTTTTAGGGACCTCCTGTTCCATTCAAGGTATTAACTGATTCACTATTGATTTTTGGATTAACACTTTTTCTTTAGAGCCTACCACAAATGCTCAATAAATATTACCTGAATAAATGAAAGACTTAACTGCTTATTTTCAATGCTTCCCCCTTCATATCTTTTAATGTGCCTTTTCCTTTTAGAAACAAGGACAAATTAAAATCGCAAATACCATTCTTATTCATTTCTGAGTGGTTAAGAGATAATCTCATTCTATGCTTAAAGAGAACATTGTAGCTTAAAACTTTTCACCTGTACTTTCTAAGCGAGGTGACCAATGTTGAACAGAAATGCAGATAGCTTTTTTCAGTATTTCACTGCATAGCCCTGATAGCACACTTGCTTTGATGGAGGAATTTTTTTCCATAATAACACACAAGAATTAGGCACTTCTTTCTCCCACTTTTGGCAGAAGCAGCTCTATGCTCCCAGGCAGTTCAGATGATCAGTTACATACCCTGTAGTACCCTGCCAGCCCTGAGAACCAGATCTACTGAAGCTACCTGTGCCCATCAAAGCTCACTATTCTGTCTCTTAGTCTGTCAGATTTCTGACAACAAATTAACAAGAGGTCAAGCATATCAACAGATTATATATCTTAGGCAGCATGCTTGATTTACAGTGAAAGGTTAGTGGATATAATATGCTAACACAATAAAAAGTTGTGGTAGCTTCAAATACCATGGTAAGTTGATGGTTTTTGCATTATTTTGTGACAGGTAGGTTCTAGCCTCACTTCACATCACATTCTATAAATAACATTACAGAATAATTTTAAAGACACCAACACATGTAAATAAATGTACAAAAATAAGACAAAGAAAAAAGTTATCTTGAACTTTTAAATAAAAACAGTCATGAGTTTTTAATAGTCTACGAAAAAATAGCGTGGTAGGAATAAAATGATTACGGAAACGAAAGTCTGTTAATGTAGACAACTTTTTGTGGCACAGTTCAGGTGTATGTACTGGGTCAATGTGGTGAAAAACCTTTGTATGTTACAGATATGTAACAATACCAGAGAAAAACATATAGATGATAATTAAGTGTGGACAAGGGAAAAAAACTGAGAAGACAATGGTTTGAGTAAATTATTTAAAAAATTAAAAGGTCTTAGCTACATTGGGCTTGTTCTTAGAGAAGAATCTGTTCCAAACTAAGAATCCACTTCAAGTATTTACATTTTAATAAAAAAGATACAATGACAACATAAGAAAACTGAGCTGGTGTATTTTAAAAATAACTTACACTGATGACTGAAGAGGAAGTTGACAAGTTTAAACCTTCAAGATCAGCCATCAAACTTGGAGAAAGAGCTGGTATGGGAAGTGCAACTGGAGTGGATACTGGGTTAACTGTAAGAAAACGCCCAAATTAGTAAATGTGCATGAACATTTAATTCAAATTATTAAAAGCAACATTTTTATTTTGTTAGTAAATCTAATTAAATTACTTTGATTAATAAATGTATGACAATTCTATTTAACATCTTGATTTAGTCAAGTTATTATCAAGTCATGGCAGTTATTAGTCTTAGCTTTCAAAACATAATGGTAAATCCTATAACAAAATAAAGATATAAATATCTTGAGTAATAGTTTGTGAAAATTTTTTCACATAACATTATCACTAACATTTATCACCCAGTAATCTCCCTAAAAAGGTAAAGAAGCATTTTTTTCCCCAGACTATCAAAAGAATAACAATCGCTTCCAAGAGAATGCTCCAGTGGAATTACAAGTCTTGAAAGATGTTTCAATCCTATATCTATTTTATTCTCTACTCTAATTCGGGGTCCAGGCTACCTAATTCCCTTGTAATTATACTTTTTCAGCAAAAGCTATGTGCTAAATGGAAATGTTTGACTGATTCTAAACCTGCTATATACTTGAGAACTGACACTGTAAGTTTGGAAATCTAAAAATCCAAGTCTGATCATGTTACTTCCCTGCTTAAGACTCTTCGAAGGCTCGTAACTGCCTACAAGATAAAAGCCCAACTCCTCAATTAAGTTCACAAAGTCCTCTATGGTCTGCCCCAGTCCTGTCTAATAGCACTTCCTGTGATAACGGAAATATTCTACATCTAATAAAAGTGGCCACTAGCCACATATGCCTAACATCTTCTTGGTATGTGGCTAGTATGACTAAATAAATGCATTTTAAATTTTGACTAATTTAAGTAATTACATGTGGCTTGTGGACATCATACTGGACTATTCAGGGCCAGCTTATCTCCAATTTCAGCACTGTTATGTGCTAGCTCTATGGGATAATAGTTCCCAAGATCTTGTTCTATGTCTTGGAGCCTTTTATATTCTACTCTGTTTGCCTACTTCTCTGCCTTGCCCATCTTGCAACTTTGATCTGGCAAGCTACCCTTTAAAAGGAAAACACTCTCTGGCTCACCTGCAAACAGCTTATATGTGCCTTCTTTGTTCCACAGATATACTTGGGCAAACTTCTATAACTGTACTTCTCATGTAATACAAATTTGTGTCTTTATATGTTTGCATATCTGCTAGTCTGTGTGAACAGACAATAACATTAATTTTTGGTGCTTCTAAACCATTTGAATAAAATACATTAAAACGTGGTCAAGTTTTAGCTTCCAACAAGTTCTCACTCCAAAATAATATTCTAAAGGGAATAACATTTACTTAATTTGACATTTTTTATTTTTGGAGATAGGGTCTTGCTCTGTTGCCCAGGCTGGAGTAAAGTGGTGCAATCCCTTCCTGGGCCCAAGCAATCTCAGCCTCCTAAGTAAGTGCATGCCACCACACCCAGCATTTTTTTTTAAGAGATAGGGTCTCCCCATGTTGCCCAGGCTGGTCTCTAATTCCTAGGCTCAGGCAATCCTCCTACTTTGGCCTCCCAAACTGCTGGGACTACAGGTGTGTGCCATGACACCCAGGTGTGACAGTAATTTTCAAAGCATCTTTTTCTCATTTTAGTCTCACAATATCCAGTGAACAAGGCAGAACAAATATTAATCCATAAAGTTAACAACAAATATTTCTTCTGCAAGGTAGCAAGTGAGAGACAAAAAGTTCAAGATCCTTAAGTAACAAAACCTAATTAAGAAAAAGAGATACACGTATCTGAAAAAAAAATTAAAAAGAAACAATACAGTCCATAAATGATATGGCCAAAGAAGAAAAAATTCAAAGGAAACACTAAATAAAATCTCAACATATATAATTTAAAAAGCAGCCTGGAGGTTGGATGGGGAGGTAGTGGAGCTCTTGGTCTTCCCCGTGCTCACTTAGTACGGCTGAAGCACAGCTTCAAATCCCCAGGCTTCCTTAGACCCACACTGAAAACCCCTGTAGAGTTAGGAAGTGTCACAGAGTCGGGGGAAAACAAGGATCACTGGAGATGGAGTGGAAGAGGAGGCTTCATGAATAGGAGGGAATGAAGTCCAATTTTTAAGTAAGGGTGGGATTTGAACAAGAGGAAAGAAAGAAGCCAGTTAATTGTTGGATAACAGAATGCTATAAACAAAGACTGGGAGGTGGGAAATTGAAAAACTAAGGGGACTGGATTTATCCTATTGACCAAGGGGAACAGTCAAAAATCAATCAAACAGAGGAATGACAATGAATATGGTCCTGCAGGATGGTCAATCAGATGGCAGTACAATGCACAGACTGAAGGCAGGGTTGGGAGTACGAAAGAGTTTACAATAGTTTAGGAACAAAGTGAGGCAATGGCAGTCTGAAGGCTTAGAAAGAGCATTTAATATTGAAGACACTGGAAACTGAGCCACAGGGAGACTAATATTGACAAGGTCATTAAAAAAGTGAGTGGTAGAACCACTGTAGAATTAGAAACTGCTTCTTCTAACTTGGATCATAATATATTGCCTTCCAATGCAACAAGTAACTTTTCAGGTAAGTTCTAAATGCATGTTTGTTCATTCCTTTGTATACCTGTCTACCCACCAACCCACCATCCATCCTTTCAAAATATTAGAATGCCCATGTAAGGAATAAAAAACTGAATAAGAAACAGTCTCTGATTTCAACGGTGGCTTGGCCAAATACTACCAAGAGACAAGAGAAGAAAATTCACGCCACAAGCAAGTTCTGCTCTTTTTTTAAAAAAAGGATGGGTTTTAATATCATTTCAGAAGATGTGTGCTCTGGTATTAAAGAGATGATTATGCATCTGTTTGCAGGTATGGCGAGATGAAAGTTGGCATTGAAAGCTTATCCTAAAGTGAATTCTGAGGCTAGTTGACTGTGCTGAAGTATTTAATTAGTAATGTGTAAAAACGAAGTGACTCTATAGGGTTTTTAAAAAAATGTCGTAGCATACAAATTAAAATGAAACATCATGTCCACCTGTCAAATTAGAAAAGGTAATTTTAAAATACAAAATCTAGCATTGGTGAAGGTACAAGGAATATAGCACCCTCATATTGATACTGTGTAAGCTGGTACAAGCTTTCTGAAAGGCGATTTTATTTACTTATTTTTGAGGAGTTTATCTGTCTCCCAGGCTGGAGTGGAGTGGCATAATCACAGCTCAGTGCAGCCTTGAATTTCTGGACTCAAGTGATCCTCCTGCCTCAGTCTCCTGAGTAGCTAGTATTACAGGTGTATGCCACCATGCCCCGCTTATTTTTCTATCTTTTTGTAGAGACAGGAGTCTCACTTTGTTGTCCAGGCTGGTCTCGAACTCCCAGCTTCAAGCAATCCTCCTGTCTCAGCCTCTCATGTAGCTGGGATTACAGGCATGAGCCACCATGCCAAGCCTAGAAGTCAATTTTGGACAAACAAATTCTTCAAAGTATTTGTTCCAGCAATACTATTCCTGGAAATTTATCTTAAGGAAACAGTTACAGAGATATTGAAATATATATTTACAATGATGAATGTTACCTCACTAATTATGATAGCAAAAAAATGGAAACCAGCTAAATTCCCAACAATAGTAAATCTGTTAAACAGAATTTGTTATAACAGGATAAAGGACAACCATGCAGTTATAAAGAACGTAGGTTTTGTGTTTTTTTGGAAACAGGGTCTTGCTCTGTCACTTAGGCTGGAGTGCGATGGCACAATCACAGCTCACCACAGCCTTGACCTCCTGGGCTTAAGCAATCCTCCTGCCTTGGCCTCCAAAGTGCAAGATTATAGACATGAGCCACCACCCCGGCTAAGAACACGTACTTTAAACAGAGGAGAAAGCAAGTGATAAAACAGTTTCTCAGTACAATCCAATTTGGAGGGGGGGATTTGCATATGAAGAGAATCTAAACTGATATGTCAGAATGTTAACCTGGGGTGTTTGGATTACAAGTTAATTTTATTTTCTTCTTTTTGTTTTAAAAACTTTCTATAAAATATTTTCTTTTCTAAAAGTAGATCTAATATAATAATTATGCAATTATTCTTCTGATCAAAGCATTGCCTTAAGATTTAAGAATAAGCAAAACTGAATATGTAATGGCTTGATATGTTGTTATTTAATTTGTAATTTGCTACATCACCTGTATCATTGGCATCATCAGCACCAGCATCATTACTAACCCCAGTAATGCCTATCTTGTGTCAGGCACAGTTCTAAATGCTTTTACATATATCAACTCATTTCATCCTTTGAGAATTAAATGACTCCCAAAAGTATTTTATAGACAAAGCATCTCAATTTTATAGACAAAGCAGCTAAAGCATGGAGAGGTTAAGTAAATTGCCCAAGATGATACAACTAGTGAGTAACAGAGCTGGGACTGAAACTCAGACAGCTTGCTCCACTGTCCTCTCAGCGACTCCACTCTACTGCCTTGACCACAATTCACTTAACAATGTGATACCACATATCATAAGGCTTATTTGAAGTATGATTATTGTTGGCTGACAGAGATTTTTTAAATACTTCACTGTCACTTGCACTAACAATGTAATGACATAGGTTTACATTTCCTATAAAAGAACACTAGAATATGATGACTGATTTATGATTGTCCTACTGAGAGCACATGGTATGGGGCCCTAAAATATATTGTAATTTCCAGGAATATAAAATATGCCTGAAACATAGAAAGCATATTGATATCTCTAAGTCTAACAAAAGACTGTTAGGTCATATATTATCCTAGAACAAATATTTTTCTCATGTATTGTTAACTGACTCCCATGAAAGAGAGTCATATAACTTAATGATCTAAAGAAACTGTAGAAGTTTTACAGTCTTTAAAAAAAATTACAAATGAATAAAATGAGACACAAAGAAACTACTAAACTGATTAAAAGCATAGGACTAATCTCTGTGCTCATGATAACATCCCCTCAACAGATACAATAGGGGAAATAGTAAGAGAAATAACCAAATTACTTTGTAATAGAGTCAGTCTATTACTAGGGTTGCTGCCTTAAGAGAGAGACAATCATTGATTCTGATAGTAGCAAGCTCTTTCCCTCCTCCACGCCTTTATTCTGCCTAGTATACCCTCCCCTCATGCCTCCAACTGCTTGACTGATGCTTTTTTTCTTTTTTTGAGATGGAGCATTGCTCTGTCACCCAGGCTAGAGTACAGTCACGCAATCTTGGCTCACTGGACCCTCTGCCTACCAGGTTTAAGCAATTCTCCTGCCACAGCCTCCCGAGTAACTGGGATTACAGGCGTGTGCCACGACACCTGCCTAATTTTTGTATTTTTAGTAGAGATGGGGTTTCACCATGTTGGCCAGGCTGGTATCGATCTCTTGGCCTCAGGTGATGTGCCTACCTAGGCTCCCCAAAGTGCTGGTATTACAGGTATGAGCCACCATGCTCAGCCAACTGATGCTTTCTTAAACTCAACTCAAAAGATAAATTTTGATACTGCTAGGTGGATTAGGTACCTTGATACCAAACAGTATTTTGCGCATTTCTCCTCATTTCATCTATAATGAGGCAATCTAATTGCCAATTTATCTGTTTTTCCCATTACACTTTGAGTGTTCCTTGGGTAGGGACAATATTGTATTCATTTAGAAATCTCCAGTATGTAGCAGATTATAAAGATCATAGCAAGTACTCAATTAACATTTCCTGAATGAAGAAATGAATAAATTCAGTACTTGCAGTCTTCCTGGTATGTACTGTGTACCTAGCAAACAACCCGTGTGGATTATGATGTGCCTCTTAGATAAAACACAGGGAATGTGTCTGGCCTTCTTTCAAGATTAATCTAATTCTCACAGTTGAGAACTAAAGCCACTGGAGAGTGACATTTTAGTGTCTGAGCAACAAACTGCATGCCATGGGCAATGGAAAACTACTGTAGGCTAATAGGAGGCATATAATGAAGTCGGCACTCCGCTTGTCTTTATCTCTAAGCTCACATCATGGTTCTTCCACAAGGTTTTTGTAGTTTTTAAATTTGGGGTTAATGAAAACCCTAAAGAGGGGTTTTCATCTCCCTCTTTGTTTCTTCACTATACTATGAATCTCTATTTTTCTCTCATATACAATAGTTACTTGTCCAGGTATCTGTGTCTCTGACTAGATTTTAGTTTTTGGAAGGGAATGACTAAATTCTATTTATCTATTACAGTACCTACCAAAGTACCTTGCACTTAGCAGACGATCCAGAAAACGTAGGCTGAACTGACTTGTTAACGAGAGTTTCAAGTGTCATTTCTGACAAATGCAGGACTATGAAAGATTTTTAAAGAAAGGAGCACTTGGGTATTAAAAACAAAGAGAAGTACTATATCCTATATTGAGTTAAAAAATGTGGGTTGGGATCAAAGTTCCCTTAAAAATTCAAAAAAACTTTCATCTCAATTCTTAAAAACTTGATTTTTTAAAAAAGTTTGTGTCTCAACATATAAAAATATACTTTTTATAGAATGGAACTATAACAATTATATCATTTTATAGGTTTTTCTTTTTTTACCATAGTTGCCAGGAAATCCAAAGTTGAATATAAGAAGAAAAAGTTGTAATTAGATATTCTTTCTCTTCGTAACATTTACTCTTTTGTTCCTTTTTTAAATGTACTTTACTGTTATTCTTTTTATAATTTTAAAACTTTAAAATTATGAAGGTTACAAACATACATGTGTCAGATACTCAAATGTCACAGAAAGATACAAATATAAAATGAAAGTCTTGGCGGGGCGCGTGGCTCAAGCCTGTAATCCAGCACTTTGGGAGCGAGACGGGCGGAATCACGAGGTCAGGAGATCGAGACCATCCGGGTGGCTAACATGGTGCAACCCCGTCTCTTACCAAAAAATACAAAAAACTAGCCGGAGCAGGTGTGGGTCCTGAAGTCCAGCTACTCGGGGGAGGACTGAGACAGGAGAATGGCGGTAACCCGGGAGGCGGGAGCTTGCAGTGAGCTGAGATCCGGCCACTGCACTCCAGCCTGGGACAGAGCAGACTCCTGTCTCAAAAAAAAGAAAAAAAAAAGAAAGTCTTATTCTTGTCTGTTCCCAGGTTAGTCCTACATCACAAGGACACCGGAGCTAACCAATGAACAATGCCACAATGAAATTTTTATATATGCCTTTATATGTTTTATTAATTCAAGAAAAATTTACTGGGTGCCCACTAACTGGCAGGAGCCACTCTATACACTAGGAATAGCAGTGAGCAAGACAGAGAGAGATCCTGTCCTCATGGAACTTATATCTTAGTCAGGAGAAAGAGACAATAATCAAATACCAAAATTTTAAGGTAATTTCAGATAGTGAAAAATGCCATGAAGACAAGAATAACAGGTGAAGGTTTGTGCTATGGTCTGAATATTTGTGTCTCTCCAAAATTCATACTGAAACCTAATCCAGACTCTGGTGGGGCCTTTAATAGGTAATTAGGTTATGGGGGTTCTACCCTCACGAATGGGCTTGGTGCCCTTATAAAAGGGATATAAGGGATGGTGTTTCCTCCTTCTGTCACATGAGGAAACAGAAGTCACTATCTTTGAAGCAGAGCTAGCCCTCACCAATTATCAAATATGCTGGCACTTTGATCTTGGACATTCCAGCCTCCAGAACTACGAACAATTAATTTATGCTGTTTATAAATTATCCAGTCTAAGGTATTTTGTTATGCCAGCTCAAAGGGGCCAAGACAGTGTGTAAGAGTAGGTGACTTCTGAGTTGGGGAAGTAAGGATCAGCCTGCCAAATCTGGGGGAACTGTTCTCAGCAGGGGAACAGCAGTAGAAAGGCCCTTGACAGAAATGAGCCTGGTATGTGTGACAAATGCATAAAAACAAAGTAGGATGAAATGTGGATAAGAAGCAGAGAGGGGTCAGATCATCCACAGTCTGAGAAACCTGGGAAAGGAGTATGGGCTTTCATCTAAATGCAAAATTAAGCCATTAAATTCAAGGGTTTAAAATAAGAAAGAAATAAGATCTGATTTTATCAGTAGTTTATCAGTAGGATAAATTTCTGGAAAAGAACTGCTATGTCGGCGGGGTGTGGTGGATCACGCCTGTAATCCCAGCACTTTGGGAGGCTGAGGCAGGTGGATCACGAGGTCAGGAGATCGAGAGCATCCTGGCTAACACAGTGAAACCCTGTCTCTACTAAAAATACAAAAAATTAGATGGGCGTAATGTGGCACGTGCCTGTAGTCCCAGCTACTCGGGAGGCTGAGGCAAGAGAATTGCCTGAACCCAGAAGGCTGAGGTTGCAGTTAGCCGAGGTAGTGCCACTGCACTCCAGCCTGGGCAACAAAGTGAGATTCCGTCTTGGGGGGTGGGGAAGAACAGCTACGTGAAAGGATATGTGCAATTTAAGTTTTGATAGATATTGCTAAAATGACTCCAAAGAGCTGTACCTATTTATATTCCTACCAAAAACATGTACATCTGTTTCTCCAAACCTTAGCAACACTGGATGTTACCAAACCTCAAAATCTTAGCTAATATGTAAAACATGATTCAAATTTAACTCTAATTTTATTTTTAGTTTCTCTGTTATTTCTCTGTATTACATATTTTAATTTCTCTATATTAAGTATATGCCATGGCTATTGGGGACAGGGCAGGTAAACAATATAAGCAGAACAGATCTATGACAGAATGAGATAATCTAAAACATAACTCACTCCCAGCACAGAAAATCTCTATCAAAAAATGACAGTAGTTTAATATTCATGAAATCTCACTTCTTGTTACTTTTCTCCTAGTACAACAAAGTACCACTATCTCTCTCTCACAATGCAGGAGGATTTAACGGGAGGTGATATATATACATCTCTGCACACTTGGGTGAATATATTTGTAGGATTCTGAATTCTTAAGATTTGCTGGGACAAAGATTTTTTGCAGGTAAAAGACTGATAGGTGTAGCAAAACTGGCCTCCAAAAGCTTTGTAACCTATTTTCCATTGCTACTAAAATTGTGCCAAGTGGAAGATGGTGATGTCCTTTCCATTTCCTTAATCCTCTACCTCCTTAAGTTAGATGTGTCAATCCCCATAATCCACATTTCACAATGTAGAAGTTATAAGATATGGATGACTATTTAACAAAACACATATAAATTACTAAAGCAAAAGATTTAAAAATGAATTTTGTATACTTTTATTTGGCCATCTATATTTGTTCATGTGATAATAAAGTGATATGCTGAATAGATGAAATAAACAAATATCACTGATTTCCAAAACTTTCTTGCATTATTCATCTATAAGTCTTACACAATAAATATTGATATATTTTGGGACATGTAAATAAAAGGTACTATACAAATAAAAAATACTCTTACTAAACACAGAAGAAATATTTTAAATTACAATACTTACAATCATCCAAATCTAGAAGTGAAACATCTTTGGTAAGAGGAGTTCTACCTTGTTTTGTTTTCTTTTCTTTCTCCTATAAAATAACAAATATTTCATTTATCACATGTTCTGTTTTAAAAATCTGTGTAGTCCTTAATATTCCAAAACATTTTTTTTCTCTGCTTAGTGGTATCAACAAATTGAACTTCTGTATAGTTATACAAAATGTTTTCCTGAATCAACATTTGTCTCAATTAGCATAAAGTATTTCTTACCCACTATGCAAACCCTTATTTTAAACTATTGTGTGTTTAAAAATTATAAATGTCAGAAGAAAATTTAAAGGTATATAATTATTTTATAACCTGATAACTTCTTGCTAACATAAAAACGTAAAGTGGCTCTTTGGTAGAGAGTCCACAAATATTCTTGAAAATAACTTCTAAACAGGTTTACTTTAGAAAAAGACATACTCAATATATGCAGAGCTCAGAGATTTTTGATGGGCTTGTGATAGGTCAGCCTTTTCTGATACAGTTTGTGACAGGCATTGTACTAGATATTTTATGTTTCTATACTGGGTTGTATCAAACTTCTTTGCCAAAGATATTCACTAAAATCTATAAATGACATTCCCAGGCTCTTTCTTTTTAGAGTTGAAAGGACTCACTCACTTGTTCTACTGTTTTGTAGAGAAAATAAATATTTCAAAACATATCTGCATATAATTAGGGCTTCCCCCAGCAGATATTTGCTTATTTGGTCTACTGTACTTACAAAATGTATATATCCATGAACCAGAATACAGTGCCCCTAAGCCTGAACTGTTCACAGTTTGGTTAGAGATTGAGAAAAAATTTTTAAATCTTTTAAAAAGAAAATTGTATGAATTAAGTGCATTACAAATAACTAAAGGCCAACAAAGAGTAGGGCGTTAAATACAATTGGGTCAAAGTTTATCTTTCTAATCTATACTATTTTTTACATTAAATTTTCTCAAATCACAGAACAAAACTAAAGTTTCTACTAAAATGTTTTTGTTTATTTCATCATTCATTCAATAGGTATGTATAGAATTCTAAATATATATTCGATTCTGTGCCAAGCAATGGAAATAACAGCCAAGACAGATACAGTGCTGCCTTCAAGTAACTTATAATCAACCAAAATTCTACAGCTTATTGTTAATGTGCTAATAAATATTTTCGAAGTATTCATTTAGCCACAAGAAGGTACCACTGAAACAAAATATATTTTATCACCATTTAAAGTTTACACAGTGTTAGAGTTCCTACAACAGTGCACATACATGAACAAAAGCATTACATAAAATTATACATAGGTAACACTTTAAAATCATTTAAATTTCACTTGCTTTTTCCCTTATGCTGATACTCAGAAACTTCAAGGACCACATAATAATATACATTATTCATACACTTAAAAAGGCACTAATTTTCATCTTCAAAGTAATTATTTTTATCATTGAACACTCCAAATCATCTAGTTAAGTTTTAATTTTCATTCCTTATTGAAAAACGAAAGAAATAGTATTTGCCCCTCTCTCCATTTCTCAAATGAGTAAACAATGTCTAAGATGGGGAAAAAAATAGAAGAAATGTTAGTTTTGAAGCTAAAATTTAAAAGTCGCAAGTAAATGAAAGCAAGTGCCGAATGAAAATGCCGTCTCAACTAGAATATCATTCCTGTGAAGAAAGAACATGTAACAAAAAGAGCATATCATCATGTGACTTATCAAAATGCTATGCTGAGCACAATGGGTGTAGCTTCCTATAAGCTACAATGGTGCATGACTGTTTTTATGGAACTGTAACCTCCCCACCTGAAAAATTAGAAACCTATCAAATCAAGATAAAGTTAAAGCTGAAGGCAAGTCTATACCTTATTTTCTACTTCACAACCAAGAGTGTGTAACAGTATCTATTAAATACATATCAGGTCACATATAACACAGAACAGAGCTGCATGTGAAATTGGCATAATCTCTTATTAGAGGCCTAGAACAGAGAGAAAAAAGGCTTTCAAAAGGACAGAATTTCATTGACTTTCTGAGAACAGCAAATAACCAGTGACTGAAATACAACATTAGCAATAGATAATGGTCATTTCTACTGAATTGAAAAACCCTTGCATTCTGAATCAAGGCTATAAAATGCTTCATGATGTGTTTGGTATTCCTCTTATATTAGATTTCATTTTTCATTTTAAAAAATCCATAGTAAGTTCAAAACATTTTCATACTTAAAGGATCTACTATAAAAATAAAATTCTGAATTCTAAACAAAGAAGTTAAGAGCTCTATTCCATCAAACATTTCTCCATTTGCAATTCATCTTGGTAATAGAGACAGAACCTGGGTAAATGCATATAGGACTGAGGCAGGAGATTTTTCTTGCTCAATGCATAATTCATGTGCTCCGCCTGCAAAGTGTGTAAAATGAGAATTTCACACCGCAGCATGAGCCATGGAGCTGCAGAGAAAAGGCAGATGAAATCATATTTTACTGTGCGATTTTATTTCTTACCCTCCCAATATTTATACAAAACCATCATTGACAAACCAAACACATTGACAGATCACCCACTGTTTCCATTGTGTTAGTACTTGAGAAGAGATCAGGCAGAAAGATAGACAATTTGTTTTCGTATATTTTTTTAAATAGAGGATTAGGTTTTTAACAGCTGAGTGACTGTATTAGACTTTTATAAGGACAACAGTAACTGATCTTAGAATCTCACCACAAAAAATACCTAGTTTTCAATTCATCATCCTCAAATCTCCATTTTGTTTCTATGGTATTCAATTATACACCTCAACACATCAACATTTTCAAAACGCAATACAAAGTCACAGGGTTAAAAAAACTGTTTTCTATTTAATGTATTTCATTTCAAATAATAAATAAAAGATCCTGGAAATACTTATTAACCTCCAAATAACACAAACAAAAATATGTAACAATGTACCTGAAAAGATTTTTTAATGTATTATGCATGTTCATTTTCATGCTGATTAAAAAAAAAGGCAAGTAACAAAAAAGACCTGACACGACAAGCATCAAATATGCATCCTAAGAGGAAACCACTGTAAAGAGGTTTGAAATTTGAAACTGTAAAATAGGATAAGCAGTATGTAAAGTTTGTCAAAGCCATACTGTGCTTTGAAATCAACAAAAAATCAAAGCTAATTTGTAGCCTCACAGGACAAGATATTTGCATGAAATATTTTCAATTAGAATTATCAACCAAGGATAATTTCATGACTTTCTTTCATTCAAGTTAACTGACAAATATGATTTCAAAAATCTGAGGCTCACACTTAAACTTTTACTTTTAAAACAAAGTACACCCCTGGTAAATTGAGACTTCTTTATGAGTTAAAAAGAAGTGTAGCCCACTAAAACCCATCTTTCCTATTAGAGTGCGCCTACTTCAATAGGAAAGCCTGCTTAATCCAAATCCACTTCATTTTAAAGGTCTCAAGTGCAATTGAGTAACATGTTTATTTTAGAGAACTTAAAATATAAATGAAATTGGGAAAGACATAAACTGAGAGGCAAGGCTTTGCAATATAACAGTAAAACCCAATATTCTCCAATATTTATAAAAGTTATATAATTGCAACATACAAAAATAGTTGTAAAAACATAATTAAAACTTGCATAATTTTCAAACAGAACATAACACCAGTCAAAAAATAGTTCCTTTCACTCTTATTCATGATTTATTTCACATCACATGCCAAATTTACTTTATCCCCAAGAATCTTTCAAATAAAAGAGCTTTATTTCCAAAATCTTTTAGTAAGGCAAATCTTAATATTTACTGACATTCAGACACCAGTCACAATACTAGTGACTGATCCTTAGAGCACCTAAGAGATTCACTCAGTTTCTTTGCACCTCCCAAAAGGAATCAGCGAAGTTTTGAGACACAAATATAACCCGAGATAAAAATAACTGACAAGAGCAACTCAAACACTGCTAGGTAGCTATAGTGGGTACTATTTTCTTCATAGCTAGTATGCACCTTAATCTTAGTTTTAATTCAAATACTGAAATGCTTTTAATATTAAGTATTATTAAGTGCAAGTATATTAAATACTTTATATTTTTTCACATTGGTAGATTATTATGCTTCATATAGTTTATGTAATTAAAATGTTAATATATATAAGGAAAATACATAAAATGTACTCACAATAAATTACAATCATAAAGTTTTTATCATTTTAATCACCGATTATCTATATCTTCAGCAATTAGTACACAGACACTATAGATATAACTAGAATACTGCATCACGAATAAGGTGCAAATAGTGGACTAACAATGTAGCTGAAGTAACTATGGTGTGGGGGAGCACTCTAATATACTGGGTAGTTATAGGAACACTGAAGCCTAGGTTTCACGAAGGATAAAAATCCTGGAAATGTAAAAGCAACATTTTAAATAAATTTTTTCACCATCTGTTCACATAATTTTAACTACAAGCAGAATATAACTTAATTATATTGGTCAAAAACAGGAAAAAGTGATATAAATGTGAATCTCTTCCTGATACAATGTGGTCTACATTACTGAGTTTTCTCTCTACTCTTTCACATAAAAAAATTTTTCCCTTTACATTGTGTAAAGTATGTGAAATCACATAAAATAAGTAATTACTAAAAGTAATTTTGTTATAGGTGTTATTTGGAACAAAAGAATTACTTCATTGAAAGGACTATACTAAAAATATTTCTCAATTAAATATATTTCAAAAAATAATACCTACACATAAAATACACTTATCCATCAACATAATTATAACAACAAAATTTTCTCCGGTCATTACCAACAACATCTGACCTCAAATGAGGACATATTCCAATCAATAACACAAACAAACAAACATGGCACCTGAATGTGTGACTATAGTTTTGTGCCTCATGAATATGCTGGGGCATTTTAAGAATGTAAATAATCCCCTTGTGGTTCTCACCCTTTTGACTGTCCCATTCACATGAGTGATACCCCATCATCAGTAACATTTTTCATTCCTTGTAGCCATTCTCAACTAGGAGAAGTGGAGGGTCACAGTGATATGAGGCTACTTTCTCCCTTGCTTTTATTTTCTGTAGTAAAGGACGAAAAAAGAAAGAACAAAGGCATAGAAATAGGAAGGGATACAGAGTGTTAACAGAACCACAAATATTCCACTAGGATTAGAATTTAGTGTGTGTGGCTGGGCAGTTGCCGATGCCTGTAATCCCAGCACTTTGAGAGGCAGAGGTGGGTGGATCACTTGAGTCCAGGAGTTTGAGACCAGCCTGGGCAATATGGAGAAATCCCTCTCTATTAAAAATACAAAAAATTAGCCAAGCATGGTAGTGCATGCCTGTAGTCCCAGCTACCCAGGCGGCTGAGGTGGGAGGATCATCTGAGACTCAGAGGTCGAGGCTGCCAAGAGCTGGGATGATGCCACTGCATTCCAGCTTGGGTGACAGAGCAAGACTCTGAAAAAAAAAAGAAGAAGAAAGAAAAGAAAAATAGAGAGAGAAAGAAAGAGGAAAGAAAGAAGGAAAGAGACAAAGAGAAAGAAAGAGAAGAGAAAAGAAAAGGAAAAGAAAAGAGAAGAGAAGAAAAGAAAAGAAAAGAAAACAGGGTGGGTAGGGTTAAGACTAGGTAGGTTTGGGCAAGCTAGCCTGAGTTTACTGAACTCAAATGGCAAGGGGCCATCAGGCCAGGTGAATTTAATATCCATCTGGCAGTTGTATAGAAGGACTTGGGGTTGGGAAAGCACTGGTCAGAGGATAACCAATGGCAGTGGTCTATGCAGGTAATGAAGAGCTGATCTAGAATAATAGCAGTAGGGAAAGAAGAAACAGACGTGAGAAATAACACACAGAACCTATAGGAGTTGGTAACTATCTAAACATACAGAATGACAGAGTAGTCAGAGATAATTCTGGGGCTTCAGATCTGGGAGAATGAAAAGAATGCTGGTGACAAATGGTAGAGCACGTCTTTTTATTGTATTTGGTTTGGAAACAATTAGGTTTGATTCTATTAGGTTAGCCTCAGAGAGGTCTAAAAATTTGGTATGAATTTGGGAAGAAAAGCTGAAACGTATTTTAAAGACTGAAAGACATTACCATGGAAATAATTAACATAAATGCTTTAGCTGAAGCTATAGGAGTGAATTAGGTCTCACAACAGGACAAATTTAGAGGGAAAAAAGAAGACTAAAGAAAAATTCATTCACATAAATTAATATCGCAAAAAACTAATATGTACTAAGTACTAATTTGGGGGCAACATTCACAGTTGGATGTCAGAAGTGGGTAAAAAGTGAAGCAACCGAAAGAATGAAAGGTCAAAAAAGTCAGAACAAAAGGGATGCAGAGACTTTTAAGTAGTCGGGGAACAGTCATACAAAAAGACCAAGAATAAGAGAAGGCTACTGGGTTTGGGGAAGGATCATCGCTGCCTTTTCAGAGAGCAGTATGTGTAGGATAGAGTTGGAAATAACTGGGTTAAGAAGTACAAGATGCAGGATACGCAGACTATTTTTCTAAACTCACTCTCACTCATGTACACACACTCTGTCTTTTCCACTCCATGCTCCCTCTCTCTCTCTTTAAATGAGGAAAAAACCTGAATGCTACAGTCGGCAGAAAAGGAATGAATGGAGAAAGAGATTAAAGGTGCGAAGGAGACAGATGATTATGAACAAAACAAAACCAAAAGGAAGTAGGAGTTACCCTTGGGGAAGTGGATGTGAATCTTACACAGAGCTGCACTCAAAGGAAAAGTAGGGTAAATGGAGACTGTGAGTTAGAGAGTAGAGACACTGACCGTGGATGGCAGCTGTCTTCCAAAGAAAGTGGCTAAGCTCACAGGCTGTAGGTAAGGGAACAGAATTAAATGTTGACTTACAACCTGAATAGTGTAAAAAGAGTGGGAAAAAAAAGCAGGATACCTAAGTTACCAAAAAATTTAGGTTACTTTTAGCATTTGATGTTCTCCAATACTGTTGATCTTTTATAAAATTTTAAAGAATGTTAAAACTGTTGTTTTATAGTTTTATAGTGTGTTACATTGATCTTTCATATTTTATTTTTGACATAACACTTGAAAGAAGTAAGGTAGGTACTAGCATTTCTGCTTTACAGATGAGGAAACTGAAACAAAGATATTCTCTCCCAACAAGTAGAACACTATGCTTATCTCATAGAACTACCATAAAAATTAACTGTTCTGAAAGCCATGTATTCAAGGTAACTCCTAGGTCACATTTTCACGCTCAGTGCCCTCAAAACACATTGTCTGAATTAAAAAAAAGAAAAGAAAGTGTAAAAGTATAGATTTAGTTAGGCTGCAGATATAAGGCATATGAATTTTCAGCACTAACATATTGTCATGCTAAATTAAAGTAAAGTACCCACCATCTGCCTTCATTACTCATAATTTAGAGCAGAAGCCACAACACTTGGTGCAAGGAGGACTTTTCTACAATTATAGTCGCCTATTATTAGAAAATAGATATACTCTGCAATTGCATGGTATATGCCAAATTATTCAGAAAGAAATAGAAATAAATAAGTAGTATGGTAGCTCCAAGGTGGAGAATACTTATTCCAATTGCTAAACTAAAGCAAAAAATTCCACAGTCCTGTCTGCCTATTATAGATGGGAAAAGGCATTCTAATATAAATAAGCCACCTAAGGGAAACACATGAACACAAAACTATCAACAATGTGAGCGAAACCCAAATTTCTCAAAAGCCTTGGTTCACTGCAATAGTTTGAGTTGTTTTATACTGACGTTTTACAGGAAAATATTTTTAACTATCAAGAGATTTAATCTGACCACTGAAAGTCCTTGACAAAGAAGAAACAAACAGAATCACTGACCTGGAGTGCCCCCGTGGCTTTTATCTTCTTTTGTTTTTTTCAGGGGGAGGAAGGGGTACAACACAACATGATGTTCAACCACTGTGGCTTTTTAATGGCATCCTAAAGCTCTGCTTCTAATAGTATAGAGGAACTGAAGTCTATAATTTTTCAACTGTTATAAAACTTCCTGAGAATAACTTCCACCACTTGACACTCACTGATTTCTTGTTCAGTCATTTTAAAAAAATACTTCTTACTCTGGGTTGTACTTACTGTCGATTTGTAACTCTCTTTATTTTCAATAACATTTTAAACTTTCTGGTAATTTGATGTAAGTATGAAATGAGAGTACATCAAACTCACTATGTGATAAGTTTTTATATCAGGCCAGATTAATAAACCATAAAATCTCTTAAGATTTTATGTGAATTTTTTAAAAATAAAAATCTTAGGTTATTTTATATACAGACACAAGTTTTAAATATAAATTTAAGTTTAAGATAGGTTTTAATATATGCAAGAAAATGTGAAATAAGGCTAGCCAATTTTAAAAACATTCTTTAACAATAAATCTTTGGATGGGGGAGGGCAATTGTCTACTTCAATAAATTAATTTTCGTCCTTGCCTACTCAGATAACATACTGAAGAAATTCAAGTTAATAGAACAAATAAACAAAAACAATATTGGATTAAGAAGAAACTGAACTGAATCAAAGGCAGAGTTTGGCCATATTTTCAACAAACAGAATAACACAGTTATATATAAAACTACTATACTTGAAGTCTAGCATGAACACGGCCCATTTATAGGAAGGGGGTGATTATTAAAGACCAAAAAGATAATTATAATTAGGTCTGAATTCTGTATTATTATTTTATTCATTTAACTAGACCTGAAATCAGAGAGAATACATTTTACATTAATAACTACATTTTTGCAATTTATACTTTATTTTTTTCCTGCTAAGCAGGCAAAATTCAGTGTTACAAACGTTATTACCAAAAAGCATTATTATTTTATTATATAAGTGGCTCTTGCATTTGTTTTTAAACGTCTATGCAAATTCTTACCAAAGAATGTATACTCTTTAATTAAAGCTTTAAAACATACTCTATTATGCAAAATGCCCAATATTTTAAAAAAGTGAATAGTCTAAATTTCTGATGATGTATGTACGCTTAGAATTCTTTGCTCAATACTATTTTTTGTGACTTCCTTTCACAGTCCCTTCAGCAAAAACACCCCTTGTCACAACCTAGCCAAGAACAAAAAAAGCCATATGCATAAGAGTTCCCTGATTTCGGTGGCAAGGGATGAGATTTTTTGAAAGTTTCTAGCTTTTCTTCAGAGTTAGGTTATAAGGGAAAGGCTTATCTAGAAAAAATAAAATCACAGGCATAGATAAGGATGGTGTTGTTTATTTTAGTTGCTGTAAGAATATTTCCCTTCAATTACAACAAATGCATAATCTCTTACCTGAGTGACTTTTCTGGATTCAGATTCACTTTCAGATTCTGACTCTGATTCAGAATCTGAAGAACTGTCTTCTACTGAACTAGATTCGGCATTTGAAGAATCTGAAGTTTTAGATTTTTCATTTTCCTTCTCCCCATCTTCAGAATCACTATATATAATAGTAAATTTTGAAATATCAACTTTAACTCCTTTACATAAGTAGTTTATATAAAAAATGGTTTTTAAATTCCAGAATACATTAATGAGGTAATAATGAAGGTATTATCCGTAACCAAATAAATTAGAACCCATTCAAATTCAATTCTATCCTGTCATACACACTTCATATGCAAAAAGTCATAAAATGACACTATGTGAATTTTTTAAAAATAAAAATCTTAGGTTATTTTATATACAGACACAAGTTTTAAATATAAATTTAAGTTTAAGATAGGTTTTAATATAT